ATACAGCCTGCATGTGGTCTGTGCAGACACAACCAGTATATAACCTAACACCTCCAATATTCCAGACAAGGGCAAAGCAGAGCTTCACCGTGCATTTGTGCAGGAGTGTGGTGATAAAGCTTACCTATGTGTTTTGAGTTTCTAAAACAAACCTATATGCTCACAGAAAATCTGCGTCTACAGATGCTCTTGTCCTTGGGGCCGTTGCTATGGTAGGAAGCTGTTAAATAACCAGTCTCAATAACCCTTGTTTGTTCTTTGATGTTATTACCTTTGATGAACAATCTGGACCAAATAAAGCTGGCTGACGGCAAATACCTCACTTAGCCATTCTGAGCTCAAACTGTGGGCCAGAAAAGCATCGCTACATCATCTTCTGTGATATGAAGCTTTTTAAACTAAGTCTGGGGCCTCTATTTTTATTGTCCTTGTAGAAGTGGATTTGAGAGCAGCCTCAGGTGTCTGTTCCTGGGTTAGTGGAACACCAATGGCATTTACCTTGGAGGGGTGGCTTCTCAAAGTCCTTGTAGGCAGAAAAGTGCAGCAGAGGCAGCCATCTAAAGCGAATGGGATTTAGATTAGGGATGGGTCAACAGGTTTGGATAAACTAAGAGCTACCCAAACCTCTACCCAAATGTTGAACCTAACCTAGAGCTTGACTTTAGTCTGGAAAAGTTTAGCTGACTTTCCTGCTTCCTATCCTCATTTATTCTAAGCTATTCTCACACCTCTGTGCATCAGGGGAGCTGGGGAAGGCAAAGGTCTTATGCTTCCCTTGTTATTCCTGAGTTTACTGACTTCCCAGCATGGTGCAAGGTTCTTTTATACACTCAGAGAAAACGGACTGTGGGAATGTGAGGACTATTTATTTACGGTGGAAGTCTATTTTATGTGGCTTTTGTCCAAAAGAAAGAGATGCAATTCAAATTCCTGTACGTGGGCCTGAAGACAATATAAAAGGCACATTTTATGAATCAAACTAAATTTAATCAATGCATATGTGCAAAAGTACAGAAACGGGAATAAATAAATTGACTGTGCTGTTGAAATAAACAACTGACATGGAAGGCACTGCGGAAGAATTCAACATGAACATTAAACAAAAGGGACGCTGCTCTTGTTCACAGTCCGAGGTGTGGAGCACCCATGGTTGTGACTGAAGCTAACAGGATCTGCAGATATTCAGTATCTCTAGAGGCAGGAAGGCCATGGTCCAACCAGTGAGAGCTGCGTAAAGATGCCACCAAGTTCAAACAGGCACAAGAGCAGCTACAGAAAGAGTATAAACACCAAGGACCACTTGTCAAACACTTCTCAAAACTGGCCATACAGTGGGCAGTGGGTGAAGTTTCTGCAAAAACTGGGATCTGTGTGCAGGTGGCAGTGACAGAGATGGCAAAGGGTTTGATTTGGGAGCTTGATCTGAGAGCTGCATCTCAGCTGCAATTCAACAGTTGAGTGGCACCTTTCAAACATAAGTAAATGTTGCCACTGTTTTGGGGATCAAAAAGCCTTCCTACGAGTACAAATACTTTTCACTTCCATAGGTCTCGGCCTTAATTTGCCTACAAATTTTTCTCGCAGGGTTGATCCTCCAACGTGCTGAGCATTTGACCATGACTGAGAAAAGCACTTAAGCACACACTTAACTTTAAGAATACAGAAAGTCCCCATTGACTTTAACAGCTATATTCAAGGGCTTAAAATTAAGTGATTTGCTGGAGAGGAGCTTGACTGCTCCATGTAGGATCAAACTCTACATCAGGCACTATGGGAACATCCATGCTGTGACCCCGCCAAGCACAGGACTGCAACTGAGAGTCAACCCCCTACCAGGTTCAGCAGAGAGGCCACATAAACATGCCCTCAGCTGCTCCAGAAATCCAAACTCCTTTTCCATGGATCAGAATACCAGGGATGAAGCTTTGATGCACCATGAAATACACAACAGTAGGACACTGTTCAAAATGATTGCTCTGTGCAGCTGAGATTGTGTAAAGAATAATTAGAGGTTTTTTTCGTTATACACTTCAGAGTTTACACTGGTCATTAAAACACAGAAAATGCACTTACATTTTCCCAGTGTCTGCTTTTCTGCAGCCGTATACTTCACCAAATCCCCCTCTCCCGATTATTCTATGTACACTGAAGTCATTCATGGTTAGCTGCAGATTTAAAGAACACAAAATTAATTTTCCTTGCAAAGTTTCTTAGAAACTTTTACCCTTAAAACTCACTTTAAACAAATGCATTTAACAGGTTACAGTATTTCCTCCCTCCCCCCTGATCACCAAGGCTTTATTAATTGCTTTAAAGAAGGTAGCTTTCTAAAATGCCTTTGACTCCTACACATATACAAGGACTAGTTCAATAAAGAGGTCATGGGAGCTGCAGTGGTCAGTGTGATAAAAAAAGGAAAGCCTGGATGAGGATTTCAGCAGAGATGAAACCAAACAAAGCATCTTAAACAAGCAGGACAACCAAAAGGACTATAGAGATGTGAGACTTAAGATGAAGTTTCAGTACAAGAGATGAGGCAGAGGTTTTGCCAAGTGAGGGCAAACAAATCTCAACCGCGGAAGCAAAGTGAAAAGACAGAGTGGGATGTAGGGTTGTACCCCTTGCCAAAAAGAAGTACTCTGGCAGTCTTAACTTCCTTCAACTACTTCAAAATCAGAAGACTATTATATCAAAACAGGCAGAGAGTATGGCCAAGTTTAGGAGGCTGTGTGCATTTAAGACTAGAACAGTGGATCAGGCTAACACTCCTCATTCTTCAAAGGGCCACTTAAAAAAAGTAATCTCTAACATGAAAGCTCTTCTTCCCCACATCAGCATTTGACAAGATAAATGTGCTTGTAATTACTTACATGAATATTTAGTTCTACATTTTTCCATTGACAAAATCTAGTAAACTTGTCACTGTAAAAAAAAAAAGAAGAATTTAAAAGTTATCTGAAAGTCTTACATAAAGTATTAGTGATATACTACACTCAGGTATTAAAAATCAAGTTCAGGACAAGGTAGTTTGAAGATGAAAACTGTTGTTTTAAAAATTAATTGTTTATCAACTTTCTGTGCATGTTTTATGCTGTATATGCTCTTGCGCTCTATACTTTTGTATTACGTCTTATGAAAGATGCCCAATTTTCTTTATCATTCAAGTCCTCCAGACCCAGCTTCTGACTATAAAAATGTGTAGGGAATTAAAATATAAATAAACAAATACCTAAACAAATAGAGGGAGAGGGAGAGGGGCATAAAATATCACAAAAAGATCATGAAAATCTGAAACTAGGCACTGCAGTTTCTTATTTTAATGAAATGTAAAAATGCCCCAGGGAATAAGTTAGGATGATTTTATCTCAAAATAAAAAAGTCAATATTATTTAATATTGTAAGAGAATAGTATCCTGCAGCTACATAAAGCATAAGATGTTTATTTTCAAAACAGGAAACCCTTATCCTTTAAAGTCATTTGTTACGGTCGTGGCTTGTATGCTGCTTCACGTGGTAGTCTGGCAGCAACAGATCATGGGCCAAAGCCCCCTTACGTGACACTCATGAGAGCCAGTCCCGCTGAGATCAACAGGGCTATCCAGCTGAGCAAGGTTTGCCCCTTACCTTTCCTTATACAACCTTTGCTCTTTGGCTGCAAGCTGTTTGTCTAGGTAACAGAACTGGGGCTTTTTCATAGCAGTATCACCCAAACAAAAGGTTTTTAAACCTTTACCAGGTCAAACTACATGCAATCTATTTTAACAGGTACATGGGGTGGGAAGTAGTCTGATCTAACTGGCTGAATATCTTTATCATTTTGTAACTGGGATACCTGGCAGTTCACACGATACAAGCAGCAAGACTAGTTCTTTGAAGGTGATCTCTCAATATCTATGGTCTCAGATACCACTGCATATGCTCTGAAGAAAACACTTGTGATGCCCACCTGGCCAGCTTAAAATCTGCCCTTATACAACAAGGATGCCCCAGTAGAGAAACAAACCATATCTTTAAAAAGGCCAAACACCCCGCAGTAACCTGCTACAATACAAAAAGACACCCCCTGCCACCGCACCCCCAGTGGTCACCTACCACCACACGCTTGTCAGATTAGAAGAACCATCAAACAACTTCAGCCGGTACTGAAAGATCTGAGTTGGAGAGATCAACTTTTTAGCTGGTCTAATACAAGAGATCACATCTACCCAAAGAACCTTGCCTGCCGATGATCTTAGACCAACACAGCTACAACCAACAACCCTGCAGACTTGGAGAGAAATATTCCCAGCCTCTCTGCTCTTGACTTTCTAGCAGCCCCCTAACCTTGCCCAATTCATCATCAGAAGCAAACTCCCCACGGATTAACAGACATCAAATGGGACACAGCCTTGCCTTAACAACAGGTACTTAATCCATCAACATGTCTCCACTGGTACTACCATCAACACCCCTCCCCAACAATGAACCCATCACACTCTATGGATCCAACACACGCCTCTCCCAAAACGCAATGCATCTGACCCAATACACCAAATGCCCCCATGGGTACCATGTGGGCAAAACCAAACAGCACCTACCTGCCACAGTGAACTCTCGTAGAAAATAACCAAAGGACAGGCACACATGTCGGTAGGAGCATATTTTTCGCAGAACCACACCGCTACTGACCTCACCATCCTCATGCTCGAGGGAAATCTGCCAAACACCTTTCGAAGGCAAACTTGGGAACAACTCAAATAGTTGGAAAAAATCTTTGCAAGCTTTCGGATACAAACACCCTTTGTCACGCTGAGGAAGCCTGATGAAGGGTGTTTGTACCCGAAAGCTTGCAAAGAAGAATTTTTCCAACTATTTGAGTTGATCTAATAAAAAATATCAGATTTATCCAAAGAAACTTGGCTGCCTATGTCCTTAGACCAAGACCTATACCCCTGAAGCTTGAGAACAAAAATTCATGAGCTGGCTGCACACTAGGAACCAAGGACTGAACAACAATATTGATTTTATGACACCATAATAAAATCTACCTGATTCCTGAAATTCTTCCTACACACAAGTAATAAAGACCCTCCTTCCTTTTGCTAGGTCTTCACCTCCCAGTAAATCAAGCTTCTTTTCTTCTGCTAATTGTTTGTCTGCTAACTCTGGGAGCTTCTCCCCGCTCCAATTTCACAGCTCTATCCACTGCTCCTAATGATCACTGTGCTTGCTTTCCTCCTCAGCCCTCAAGAATATTTTGCATTCAAAAGCTTATCTGATTTTATCCCAACTACACAGTTGGTCCAATAAAAGATAACACCTCCCAAAAAAAGCTTGCCGGCTTATAATGCACTATTAATTAAGTAAAGTTACCTAACCATTTCCAAACTTTTTTTTTTGTAGTAAAACACAAGGGACCTGACTAACTGAAGGAGATTATACAGTAGTTGACAGAGTATGTGTAAAGTCATACCTTTCCATAAATTTTTGAAATATATTTCCTCGGAGACTATCACAGATTTCTTCTAGGTATGGCTAAAAGGGTACAAAAATACCTTTAGGTCAGATATATGATAAACTGAATATCCATTATTAGCCAATGAAAACAACACACTGGCTCCAGTATTTTCTGTCCACTGGAAAGGTCAGAGTGCAGAGATCGTTCCTAATCACATGTGATAAGACCATCTTGTAGATGGTAAAAAGCAAGGTGCTTGACATCCTCAACATTCACGAAACCAGCAGTGGTGGCACAAAATACAAATCACACAAGGTTCAACGATCACTTTGTCAGTCCCTCTGCTTCCGTCAAAGAAACTTCACTGACAGTAAGAACATCCCACAGGGCAATCAAGTGCTACTTTAAAATTCAACAGGAAATGCAATACTCTAGACGGACAGCAAATAAATTGAATTTGTCTGCTTGTGAGCGTTAGTTTCAATCTGCACTTCCTAACTTAGGCCCACTTGTGTTAGAGAATACTTACACTATACAAATACAAAATTTCTCATTTTTTTGAGGAAATCAACAGAAAACATAAGTACACTATGGGCACATCTACACATCCTACAGCAACATAATGATGCACTACAGCAACACAGCGATCACATGGGTCTACACGTGATCACCAGCTACATCAGTGGAGCCTTTATAGTGCACCATTACGGTGACATAGCAGAGAAAATCTAACCATGCACCACGCTTTGGTACTTCCAAAAGGAAATACTAAAGTACGGCACCATGGCAATGAGTAGACGCACTCTGTTTGACCAGCCTACTATCTCTTTTAGCATGCAAGGACATAAAAATCCTTTTTTTTTTTAACCTAAAACATTTATAGAATTGTGTAGAAAAGCACTGTAATTACTGCCACAAAGAAGTAAATATTTTTTAAAATATAATTTCCCACTGCATTTAGACACTAGAGATAAACAAATCATCTTCAACATTTAATTCTTCACAATAAAACTGCAAAACAGTCATCATTAAACAGCATATTAATATACCTGGGAATTGTGGAGCAGAATAATTTGATTAGTTTGGGGTAAATACAAAATTTCAAAGGACAGAAAGCTACATGCATTACAATTTTTTTTCTTTTTTGATATTTCAGGTTTCTGGAGGCATTAAGTTGAACTCTGAGCTTCATACCCTAGTTTATGTTTCAAGAGATGTAGGCCCCTGATGTCACAGGGACTCCGTGTAACCATTAAAAGATGTAATTTACTGGTGGTGCCAGAGTAACCATCCAATTCACTCTCTGAACTGCTGTGTAAAATTCCTTATATTCTAGTAATGAGGTTTTACCTTTAACAGTGGCTCCCAATCTTTTTTTTTTTTTTTTTTTTTT